CACTGCATTTTCAACAAGATCAAAAGCATCTTCATCTTCATCAAGAACAGGCTTCATCTAAATAAGAAAATGAAGAACACCAAGATCAACAACAAGAAAATGAAGAACACATACAACACCCACTACTATTCGTCATCTTCTTCATAAACCTTCACCACCTTATACCTCCATTTTAACCACCTTATTCCACCCTCAAAACAACCTCAAAATACTCTCCAAACGCCCTCCAAATACCCTCCTTAAACCTCATCAAAAAACTCTTTTAAGTCACCTCAACCATCACCACCTTGCTGTTTCCGAGATCAGAATCTGCAAGTCAGAAAATAAAACATTGGGCACAACACAGCCAAGATACGACTAGGGAGATTTTCACCACGAATTCTTTAGAACTTTACCTACATCTAGGAATTTTCGTGGACAATTTTGACTAAGGGAAACCCAATGAGACGGGAGAGAGGATTGGGTATCCAGAGATATTTATTTCGAAAATAGAGAAAAGAAAAGGATATTCATTCTCTGTATGTTTGCTAAAACAAGAATACCAAAGCCAAGTTATTTGGATTAATCTCATATTGGGCTAGGCCAAAGAAATGTTGGGTCAAAAATCAAGTGGGCTAGTTATTTCAAAGTGGGCTAAATCAATTTTCTACTAGACTCGATAAAACAAAGTTTTTCAAAACCACACCACTCGACAAATCAAACCCTACTGAATATTGAACAAAAAGAAAGAAAATCTATTAGGTACCAGTCCAACCCTAAGCCTGTTCAGTCAATCATTTGACGAACTTACTTGATAGACAATTCGTTCCATCAGTCTAGTTCTAAACCATTTGTGCCATCAGTCCACTTCAAAATCAGTTCAGTTAATTTATTGACGAACCTACTTGAAATATATTTATATATTTTATTATAGTTTTACATCATTTAAATACCTTCGTTTATATTATATATAGCTTAATGTCATTTAATTACAGTCATTTATATTATTTATAGCTTTACGTCATTTAAATATAGTTATTTATATTATTATAGGTTTCAGTAATTTATAGTTTTCCAGTTTATATTTATTCTGCAATTCTTAGTCTTTATATATCCGCATCTTATCTCTTTAATTTATATATCTGTCACACACAGTAACCGGTATTTGAGCCTTTATTCGTGGTGATTAGATTTTATATTTTCGACAATTTACATACATATTTTATTTGTAGCTTTTTTTGGCGTACTAATAGAAAAATATTAACTACTATTTTTTTATTTCTTTTTGTTAAATTAGTTGCTAAAGATAAATATTATATTCATTATTTAATTAGTTTATATATATATATATATATATATATATATATATATATTAAAATATGAATATAATATATGTATATATAATATAAAATATAATAGTACGGTTAGGTTAAGTTTTTGCGGTTGGTGTATATATAAAAACAGCAAAGCATCGAAAACTTTTGATTTCTTCAAAAGTATAAGCATAAAGCCAGAATCCCAAATAGCTGATAAATAATAAGTCATTAGCCTTAAAGTGTATGTCATAATCCCATAAGCCATTAGCTTTCGGTGATTATCTTGATTATATGGATTAATCTAATAACCATAATCCCAAATAGCCCATAAATAATAAGTGATTATATGCATATATTTGTAAAAAATAACAGGCCTTCATCGTTTGAAATGTTTAGAGCTGTCTGATACAGAGGTTGGAAGCAGTGGTCTTTCCCATCTCTCAGGTTACACATTTTTCTAACATCACTTTAACTAAAATTAAGAAATATAAATTTCATAATTTGATTCTAAGGAATTAATTCATCGTTTATAAAAATTGTTGCAGGGTTGATAAATCTTTCATAATAGATCACTTAACTTAGATGTTCGCCACATCACAGATGCTGGATTTCAACTCTTACAAGTAAGAAAAAAAAAAAACTTTTATCGCCCTATAATTGGAAAAATGGTAAATTATTTGTAAAGTGTAATAGCAAGTGTTATTTGTTGGATGGATGCAGGTTAGACCAGATTGAATCATTTGGATCTCTTTTGTGCTAGAATAACAGATGTGAGAACAAATTCTATGCGCAGTATGACAATATTCAGTCTTTTATGTTCTTAGTTGTCACTGTAATTGTAAGATTAAATTTTTCTTGATCTACTTTATCAACCTTCTTCATAATCTGAAATTTGGGCTTTTTCTTGCTTTTACAAAAAGGAAATATAACTTTATTTATTTTTGTTGTTGTTTGGTTGAATTTGCTTTGCAGTCAGAGAAAGATCTTCAAGGAACAGATGAATATTACACAAGATCATTAATAACTTCATTTATATAAAGGAGGTACTCAGTTTGCACCTTTTTCAATCAACCTTTACTAATCTTGCATGGTCAAAATACGTAACCTACATTTAATATCAAAGATTGTGAGATGTTTTGTGATTATACATTTTTTTTGCATCATGATGGAATTTACATATTTCTGTATAAAAGATAAATTATTATATTTGAATGTGTTCTGCTATTTGTTACTTATTTAATTCCAGGCTTGTGACAAAAAAATTTGTCAACTGTTAGATGCATTTAACAACAATCAAAGTTAATCTTTAACAATTATAGCTTGGTAAAAAAAAAATTCAACTGTTGTTACAGGGGTCTCTAATTTGTTGCGTATGAGACTTAAAATTAGAATATGTAATACAAGGATTACAAATAGAAATACATAATCTCTATAACGTGGTATTTTAATTTGTTATATATGAGAGTAGGATATTGAAGAATACATGAAAAAGACAAACTATATCATTTTACTTTTGTGTTTGTTTACTCTCATGGTTGTATTTTTGATATTAGATCTTTGTTTAATTTTAATTGCTACTGTTTTATTACAAGCTACATGCCTTCAAATTTTTATACAAATTTTTAAAGGAGGTTGTTTTTTTATCCACAAAAACTTTTTTTATTTTTATTATTATTTCTGCTTTTACTGTGACTTTTATTTTTTATTTTTTTTTCAAAAACCAATCGCAAGAAACCACCAAAAAATTCAGATTTTTATTCTGACCGGTATCTATTTACCTCACAAACAGAATCAATTGGTTGTACCCAGGTTAGATCATTGAAGCTTCTACGAAAATAGTCACTTGAATCTGTTATGACATGTCAAACCACCCAAATATAGTACATCCATTTATGTTGCAAAAGTAAAATGACATTTTTGCCCTTTAGGCCATTTCTTTTGACATTTTCTAAATAAGTGTCAAGAAATGCTTTATTTGGAGTTACTCCTTCGATGATGACTTATTCTTTTTCAGATTTAAATTTTATAAAAATACATGTATGCTGCTCATTTTTTGTGTTAGAGCATTGCACGGGTTGTAGTTCTAAACAGGTTACAAAATTTCTGTAAAGTCAAGTAATTAGCTTCAATTTCTGGTGCAGATCAATTTCAACCATGGGGATATAAAAGGAATGTGACACAACAAGTTTTTTTATGTTGGGATCTCGAAACTAAGTTGGTGTAATATGTTTAGTGCAATAAGGGTAACCCCAATCTTCAATAATCAATTTACTGTGTTTGTATTTTTCATATGATTATTTTGTTAATATATTTTTTGTTGTTTTACGGAACTTTAGGTAGACATAATAGACATAATCATTGAGCTTTAAGCAGACATAGTCGATAACATGTGGTTTTCGTCAGAAAGAACAACCACATCCATTCAGGTTAATAACAACGTAAGTACATAACACTTTATTGAAGCATTACTATTTCTGCCTGTACTATTTTCCCCAATTGTTGTTTTGGGGAAATTCAACAATATAATAGAAATTCAAACTTTTCTAATTAACTAGACCATAAAAAAAATAAAAAAAAAATTCCTAACCCATGCGAAGCATGGGCCTTTTCCTAGTTTATATATATACAAAACTACATGATGAACAGTACTTGGCTGTGATTGGACCAACATCAATTTCTTTTTTTTAAATAGTCTTGCCCTCTTTTTGTTTTTGTTTTTTTTTTTTCGTTTAACTTTACCCATCTATTTGCTTTGAGAGTGTTCCTGTACACGTGTTGGCGTCGGGATACCCACCCGTCTACGTGTTTTAGTGTTATCTGATCCACCGCCTCAAATATTTTATTTTCGGTTCCTCTTTTGTCTGCCATTTTCCACCGCTTCGTCTTCCAATAGCAAAACAACACTATGGTGCTGTTTGTTTTTTGGAAAAAACCTCTTCAGACCTCTTATTGCTGCGCGGCGCAGCACACGCGCAACATTTTTCATCTCGCAGCTGTTTGTTTTTCAGAAGTCTTCGGATTAAAAAACCTCTGCGCGTGCTCTTCTTAGCGCAACACTTGTTTTGCCTCTTCTTACCTCTTCCAACCTCTTCTTCTTCTTTTTTTTCTTGATAAAATATTGATTATATATTATTGAAATCTTATTTCACATTTTTTTTCGTTTTTTTTTTGTTTATTCTTGTTGAAATTTTTTTTTCTTTTTTTATATTGAATAATAATAATTTGTTGATGAAATATCATTATTTTTATGCTAAAATATCTTTATTTTTAGTTAAAATATCATTATTTTTTGCTGAAATATCATAAATTATTGCCGAAATGTCATACATTATTAAATTTTCGGTATTAAAAAACTATATTCGGATTATAAAATCAGTTTATTTTAATTTTTTAATATCTGCAGCAGTATGTAGATGTTAAAAAACAAACACGTTTCTTATTACAGTCTGCAGCAGTTTGGTCCACCTCTGTACTGCAGAGGTGGTCCGCAGACTTTTTGAATTTTTGCTTCAAAAAAACAAACAACACCTATGACATCCACCGCCTACCAGACGAACCCACCACCGATCCATACGGTGGTCGATTTCATTCTCCATTTTTCATTATTTTCCCCCTTCTTCGTTATGTAAATCGATTGAACCCTCTACTGGCTGGCTTCTTCCTGTTTGCATCGTCGCCTTTGTGTATCTATTGTTCCTTAAATTGATGATTCACCGCCTTAATAGCAGTTTTCCGTCACCGCCTCTGTCGTTCCTGCAAAGGCAGCTGCTTTGGAAGTACCCCTTTTCACCACCGTCCTTCTCTGCTTCTGCCTCGCTTCGGACCTCTCCTGTTCCTGCTTCTCTTCTCCTCTCACTGTCGCTTCCTTCGTACCACCAGACGAACTCATGAACACCGTTATTGCTCCATAAGTCGTATGCACAGGGGATCGATTCCCCTTTTCATCACTTCATGGAGTCGCCGACATGACTTATGACTTCTGTTTGCTTCAGTCCAATGCGTTTCCTTAGATTCAGTTTTTGAAGTGATTGGTTGATGCCCTAATTAGTTAGATTGCTTGAAATTTGGGGGAAAGTAAAGAAATATAAACTATGTAATGTATCTCATCGAATCAAACTGAAAAGTACACATGACTATATATTGTTTATATAATTTCTTCACATTATGCTTAGATAAAAGCAACATTGCCTCCTCTCATTTGATTCCTCATTTTTGTAGCTATGGCGGATGTTGACGATATCATGGTTGTTTCAGGAAATGGGACTACTCCGTCGATCTTCTACAGCGGCACCGGAAGCCGTTGTGCATACGACTCATCTCACCACTCTCACTCAGGAGAAAAAAAGAGGAACGAAAGAGCTGGATTTGATGAACATGACAACTGATCAGAGGATGCAGCAACCTCCCCAAACGGCTTTTCCGGCCTCGATCGGTGGATTGTAGAGACAATCGAGCAGGAGTAGTTACGGAGAGAGTTGTATTTCTACTGGTGATGGTGATGGTGATGGTGGGGGAGGGTCTTATTCATCGAAAAGTTGGGCACAACAAACGGAGGAGAGTTATCAATTGCAGTTGTCTTTGGCGCTACGGCTTTCGTCTGAAGCCATGTGTGCTGATGATCCTAATTTACTAGATCCTGTGACGGAAGAAACCGCAGGGTCGAGGTCATCCGGTTCTACGACTGGTATGGCTTCAACTCAAATTATCATCTATTGTGTTTTAGTTCATGCCTAAGAAAGTCAAAATCCTGTAGCCTCTTTCTTCATCTCCCTTATGAGATACTGCATCTATCCATTTGCTGCCATCAGCGCACCTACATAGTATTTAATACCTAAGGTGAAATGAAATTGTCATGCTGAATATCTCTTCTTATTTGAAAAACATTTGAAACTGCAAGATAGATCATGGGAATGATGACTTATAATTGCATTTTGGCTCTCAAGTTATGATCCATTAGTAGTTTTTTTTTACCACTTATATGACTAGTGTGGTTGATGTGTAAAAGAGTTTTGGGTTGTTTTTTCAGGTTCCTGAGAATGCTATACTATTAAATTTGGGCCCGTTGCGGGCAAATGCAATGCAAGAAAGTGTGTTTATATTTAATTACAACAGGTAAGCATTGTTTTCCTCCATATCTTGCGAAATAAAAGCTTAAAAGGGTAGTTAACAGTGGCATATTGTGGTTTATTTTATGTTAGAAGAGCAAGGAAAGCTTTTATAGATGCATTATTACCTCCTAAAAGCAGTAATGGAAGCCCTGTAATGCCCTTTGAACTTGAGGTTGGTGAATGATGATTGACTGATTTCTCCATGAATAGTTTCAAGTTCACAAGTTTGAACTTGATATTTCAGGTAGTTGAAGCTGCCTTGCATTCACGAATACAAAGATTTGATGATAGACTCATGGAGTTAGACCCACATGTGAGTATGGAAACATAGTGAGTATATGTAATTATCTTTCAGTTTACAGCAAGATCACATTTATAATATATGGGGTTGATGAGAAGCTTTTCCTTTCTGTATGTATGTGTGTATTGTTCAGGTTCAAGCTTTACTTGAGGTTTTGCCAAACAAGTTAACTGCTGACATATTGGAGCAACTTCGTATTAGCAAGCAAACCTTGATATGTATTTACAATTTTACATCACATCAACTTGCCATATATATATATATATATATATATATATATATATATATATATATATATATATATATAATTGGAATCTTTTTATGGCATTGAAGGTTGAAATGGGATCGAAAGCTGGGGCACTGAAACAAATGTTGTTTGATATACTGGAGGATTCTCATGAAATACGTCGCATTTGTATAGTGGGCAGAAACTGCATCCTCAGTGGTCAATTCTTCTTTTTTGTCAAGGCATTCAAGCATATGTGAACTGTAGGGATGATCCAACAGTTGGGTAGTTTCATGAGCTTAATGTCATAATGGGGCATCAGAAAAGGGTAATTGGTGCTAGCAATAGTCAGATGGATTGATATTGGACAATCAATTCTTAGCTCTTACATAAAAATGATCCCTGGTAAACTAATCATCCAATTTAAGGTATCGACTTATCCGGCAAATAATTTCTTATTATTTGAGTTTTTGTATTTTTTGTTAGTGTATGTATATTCAAGAGCTACAATAAGGTTTTGGATCATTGTGGTGACCTTTTTGAAAAAACTTTCCATTTATAGCATTCTACACTTTCTAGAATTGGATTACATTGGTATGATTATGCTACAAACAAATGAATGAACATATGTTGATGTATTTTATCGAAAATGCTCATAATTGGTGTTTTATTTACTTTTAAATTCAGAGCTAATATTATTTTTGGATTAAATGCACTTTCTGGGAAGAAAATACAAGCATATGGGTCAGCTACTAGACCTTGGGACTCTGCAAATTCTGAATATTTAATGCGTTACACAGTTAAAAAGAATTACACCATGTATGCTTGGGAACTTGGTAAGTTCAATTATTTGTTACAATTCATGAATTTTTTAATTGAAAATGGTTTTAAGTTGTTGAATTTTTTTAAAGGGAATGAGTTGAGTGGAAGTAGAGTTGGAACAAGAGTATCAGCATCTCAATATGCTTTTTACACAAGACCCTTAGCAAACATAGTTCAATTTTCGTTCATTTACAAATTCTTATTAAAACATTATTTGGATGATATTGTGAAGTATAATGTTGTAACAGGAAGAAATGGAGTAGGATATGTTGTGTAAAATGTTTATTTAGTTGCCTGACTTTTGATACAAACTTGGTAAGAAAAAGTAAAGCGTTGTAAAGTTTGTTGCGATTTCCTGTTTTTAAATAAATGACTATGAAATACCCTCCAACCCCTACAACTCCATCACCCGCAACGCGGGATTCTTCCCTAGTACTATACTATTTTAAAACATATACTTATTCTATAACTTTTTTAAATACACCACTCCAGTCAAAAAAATCAACTTAATATACTTATTAACACTTTGATGTTTGACCTACGCACAGCTGTAATTTCACCATCACATTAACACTACAAAGTAAAGGACTTCCATATCTTCACTAGGTTTGATTGGATACTGAAAGTTGCTAGAATTGAAAGACTATAACCGAAAAATCAACATACTCCACTCTTAGTTGCTGCGACTATATATAATTCTTGATAGTCTTTTTTTTTTTTTTGAACAACTAAACATTATTCCTGGTAATTTGTTCTTTACTTTAAGCTTGTGTTTTTAAAGTAAGATCATGAGAATGAATCAGATTATTTTTACCGGAAAGTCCTTATTCACCTTCTATTTTCGATTAGTTTCTGCAATTTTTCACCATTGCTATCATATCTAAACCTAGTAAGTTCACATATAATCAGATTGTTTTTAGATAAGTAGGTTTTATTCTTATTAACACATATTATGTATATAGAGTGTATGTAACCTATTCAATGGTGTTGAAATTAATTCAGTTAATTCTTAGTTTGAGATTAAGATATATGCAGTAATCAAGTCACTTGATTATGTTAAAATGGCACACAAAACCAAGAAGGGAATCTGAACAGGGGTTACGAGGTACTAGGGGTGTTCGTTTGGATGGATCGGTTCAATCCAATCCAATAAAGTGAATCCAAATTGATTTCGATTTTCAAAACATGGATCCAAATAGTCCAAACTAAATTCAAATCCGATCTGATCCGATCTAATTACAATACGGTTGGATCGGTTTTTATAATTCGGTTTTTCAAAACATTTTAAAATGACATATAATTATAATATTACATAATTTTACACAAACATCAAAAACAAATTATTTAGTTCCGATTTAAAATTTATAAACAATTACTAAAAAGTATATTATAGTTTAATATTTTATAGATAAATAAGTTTTGAGAGAAAGTACATATTAATGTTTTTTATTAGGGGAAACTTTTTGAACCTATTTGAAAAAATAAATTACAAAATTAATAAAATAGTTATAGATATATTAAAATTAAATAAATACTCGTAATAAATTGTTATCGGGTTTTTTTAGACTATTCGGTTCTTATTTTATAAATCGAAACCAAATCTGAAATCCAAAATAATAATTTGGTTTTGGTGACAACCAACCCAAAAATCCTAATATCCAAACCAAATAGTCCAATCCAAATTATCTAATTGGACAATTCGGTTTTAAAGTGAATAACCCTAACAGGGACAAAAACTTGACAATAAAATTACTTTACTCTTGAAGAATAAAAACTTCAAAGTGGATAGAATAATGAATAGGGAGGAACACTATACTAATATTGTCCCATATTTTTTGTAATATCCAATAAATTGCTCTGATTTTAATGTAGTCCAATTAGTACTGATTACGCTTTTCATACCATACAGGATTTTCACTATTATATTAAATTTTACATGTTGGGATGAATATCTTTTACACCTGATCCTTACAAAAAGATGGACAAGTCTTGGATGGTAACTAATAGAAACAAAAAGCCTTACATAGAAGGAGTTGAAACATTTTTGGATTATGCAGTTCGCGATTTGAAGATCTCGATGAATATGGACCCACTAGATTCCAAAATAAAAATAAAAATTCCATGTTTTTGTATTAATTGTGTAAACCACATAAGTCTTCATGTGTCAAAAGTAGATCATTACTTATTCAGATATGGAATCGATCATAACTATACCAAATGGATTAAGCATGGAGAAAAAGAGGACCAACCAAGAAATGTTGCATTAAAGACAACTATTAAATGAACAAAACATACTTTGATGGAACCATGAATTTCGCAATAGGAATTCCAACAGATGTCGAATACACAATAGAGATGGTTGAAGCCACTGAAGAAACTTTCGTAGAAAACCATGTCAAATTTCAAAAACTAATTGAAGATGCTGAAAAGCCACTATACAAAGGATGTCCTGACTTCACAAAGTTGTCTGCAGTTGTACAACTCCTAAACTTGAAGAGTAAGTATGGAGTTTCAGATGAGTGCTTTACTGAAACATTAGTTTTTATAAAGAAGATGTTACCTGAAGGTAATGATATGTTGAGTAGTACCTTTGAAGCTACGAAAGCAATGAAAGCAGTGGGTTCTGCGTATACAAATATACATGCATGTATCAACAACTGCATTCTTTACAGGAACGAGTACAAAGAAGCGGAAGTATGTCCTACTTGTGGGAAATCAAGATGGAAGGTTGATGAGAAAGAAAAAAATATATATGAAAATATCCTAGCAAAATTACCATGGTATTTTTTCCATTATTTCGAGAACGAAACGACTATTTCAATCAAAGAAAATAGCACAAAATATAAAATGGCATGCCACCGATAGAACACATGATGATGTTTTACGTCACCCAGCGGATTCAGCGGCATGGGCTGCCATAGATAACATATATCTTGATTTGCTAATGATCCAAGAAATCTACAACTAGGCATTTTGCCTGACGGGGTAGACGTGAATAAAGGAAATAATAATCATAGTGTACGACCGGTTTTAACTGTGATTTACAACCTTCCACCATAGTTGTGTACGAAAATAAAGTTTATCATGCTTTCGTTATTGATATCGGAAATGCCAGGAAACGATATTGAAGTTTTTTTAGCACCTTTGATCGATGATTTACAATTGTTATTCGACGTTGGAGTCGAAACATATGATACATCTGCAGATGAGATGTTTACTCTACATATAGTTGTGTTATGGACGATAAATGATTACATGCTCTTGGTACACTATGTGGTTTTCCTTACAGCGGATATAAAGTTTGTGTAGTGTGTATGGAATAAACGCATTGTATTATACTTCCTAAATCAAAGAAGCAGAGCTATGTTGTTCACCGACGATATCTACCATATAATTATCCTTTCAGAAGTCACAGAAATTCATTCAATAAAGATAAATAGATCACAACTGCTCTAGACCCTATGAGAGGGGAAGAAATATTTAACAATGTCAAATATGTTATATATAAATGGGGAAAGGGAGCTAATAATAAGGAATCATACATCCATCAAACTTCGACTGGGAGAGGTGGGAAGATAAAAAGAAAAAAGAGAACATCAAAATAAGTGTGTAGTTCAAATGTTATCAACAAAGAAACACATATCAGAAAAAATATAATATATAGTATTAACGTCTTTGGGATTGGCGGTATAATCTTGTCCATCATTGTAAAGATTGTATGCATGTCGAAAAGAATATAGGTGAGAGTCTAGTTGGAACAATGTTAAAAATTGCCAGCAAGATGAAGGACGAGTTACAAGCTCAATTGGATTTTGCAGTTTTGGGATAAAATCAGAGTTACAACCTAATATTGAAGGCAACAAAACCACACTTCCGACAACAAGTTACACATTTACAATAGATGAAAAACCATGTTTTGTGAAACACTATACAACTTAAGGGTTCCTCAAGGGTATTGTTCTAATTTTTCTAGTTTGATGAGTCTAAAGGATAGGAAGCTTATAGGACTTAAATCACATGACCATCACATGCAAGATATTATGTGTCACATTGTGTTTGCTTGAAAAATACTTTCATCCATCCTTTTTTGATGTTACAGTTCATTTAACGGTGCACCTGATTAGGGAAGTAAAATTATGTGTTCAAGTATGCTTTCAATGGATGTATCCATTCGAAAGGTGTGTGAAGGTTATTAAGGGGCACATGTGGAATAAAAATAAACCAGAAGGTTGCATTGCTGAAGAGAATATTGTAGATGAGACGATTGAGTTTTTAACAAATTCTAAAATAAACAAGAGTAATGTTGGTATTCCAACTGAAAAGCATAACAATTTTAGAAATCGGAATGATGAATGCAACATTTCTCTTAGGGATGGCAATCTAGTATCAGCATGTAGACCGGTTCAAGTTTCTCCAGAATTCTTCATCAAAGCACATTTCTATGTAATGCAAAATACAACTGAAGTTGTACCATATATTAAGTAAGTAATATTTAAATGTATGTACTTCTTTTAAAATTTTATAGTATTATATATCTACTATTATACTAATCAATGTATTTACATGCGACACATGTCTTTTCTGAAAAACCAACACCCTTTAAAGCGATATGCATGGCTACAGACTGAGCAAAGTAAAACGTTTGGTCAATGGTTAGCAGAGAAGGTATATTATTTTCATACTGAAGTTATTTTTTCTTTGTTGTATATGAGTTGAAGCTCATCCTTGTAATATGATTCAGGTTGAAAAAGAGTTATCGGTGTAAAAAGAAAGTATATTAGAGACCGTTAGGTGGATATCACATGGACTAAACACCAATGTACTGAAATATGATGCATATGACATCAATGGATATACATTTCATACAAAATGTCGTGAAGGTAAAGGTCACTAGAATATCGGGGTTATTGTAGTGGCAACTGAAACACATATTTCTAAAGAAGTTGTATCCTATCACCAAAAATCTTATTATGAGGTTTTACAAGAGATATGGGTATTAGATTATCATTTTAGAAAATTCCTCTTTTCATGTGTGACTGGGTTGACAATAAAAACGGGGTCAAGAAGGATCCTTTTGTGTACACATTGGTTGAACTTGGTAGGTTATGCCATAAAGATGATCCATTCATATTGACCTCACAAGCACGACATGTATTTTACATTACATACCAACTAAATAAAAAAAATGTCAATTGCCTTTATGACACATCCCAAAAATTACAGAGATGTGTGTGACAATATGGACGAAGAGTTTAGTACTGTACTTTTTCCTCACAATGAGAATAAATTGCCACGTGTAAATCCACTTGAATTGTGTAAAGAATCACGAAATGATTATTTTCGGGCTGACTGTCCGGGTATAGTTGTACGTAAGGTATATATTTCTCATTCACATTGTAATGCTTTTATATATATATATATATATATATATATATATATATATATATATATATATATATATATATATATATATATTTCAATCGTGAACATCCCATGATTTGCATGTGTATAAGTAATATTTTTGCTACATTTTTTTCAGTCTAATGATTTCAATTTTTCTACCAGGCACACGAGAATCCATGATCCTGTTGTTTTAACAAGGAATTATAAGCATTCTGTTAATTTTTGATAATTTTAATTCTATTTAATGAATTTTTGGTCAAAAATACTTATTTAGGTCATTTTTGTCAAGTGAACTTGTAAAAAAGTAAAAAATTCAATATTTTAGACATTTAAAACTTAGCTTTATAGGTAAAAAGTTTAGCTTTTGGATCTTTTTTTTTTCATTTTACAGTTTAGGTCCATTTTTGGTAGGTTGGTCAAAATGACCAAAATGGAGAATTTGCACATTATATTCACCTTAATCATAGACAAATTATACTTTAGGTATTCAAAATTTCACATTACAGCTCTAAATTAACGTGTTTGGATCGTGTTGGTCATTTTGACAATTTAAGTCTTTTTTGGCATTTTGTTCAAAATGACCATTTGGCTCATTTTGGTAGGGTTCATCTGGTAAAACAGAAAAAATCAGTATTTTGGACGTTTAAAACTTAGCTTTACGGATTAAAAGTTTAGCTTTTGGATCATTTTGATCATTTTGACAATTTAGGTCCATTTTTGGCAAGTTTGACAAAAAGACCAAAATGATTAATTTAGTCATTATATTCAGATTAATCATAGACAGCATATACTTTACGTATCCAACGTTTTCACATTACAGACCCAAATTAAGGTGTTTGGACCGTGTTGGTCATTTTAATATTTTAAGTCTTTTTTTGGCGTTTTGTTCAAAATGACCATTTAGCCCATTTTGGTAGGTTCATCTGGTAAAACGTGAAATATTTAGTAATTAAGATATTTGAAACATGATATTACATGTATAAAGTTTAGCTTTTGGATCCTTCTGGTTATTTTGACCATTTAGGTCCATTTTTTGCATGTTGGTCAAAATGACCAAAATGGACAATTTGCACATTATATGGAGCTTAACGAAAACAAAATTAGAATTTTGGTTATTTTAAACTTCTCATTTCTAAAGTTTCATTTTCAGATCAGTTTTGTTATTTTGACTATTTAGGTCAATTTTTTGCATGTTCATCAAAATGACCATTGTGGTCATTTTTATCGGTATGATCAGCTGCTAAAACAGAAATAAAAATATTATTTTTCTCATTTTCAACTTTGTATTTAAAGGTTTTTCTCATTTATCGTTTATACTGGTAAATTAAAGATTTGCCCTTGTGCCTATGCAGGTTTTCACAGCCCTAGCAACCTCCTTCCACATACACTTCAGCCTCTCAACATTAAAGGTCATAACTTGTGTTTTTGATCTGAGGCTCTAAACCCGAAAGTTAGGTTCCTGAATGAGAAAAAAGGTTACTTGAAAATTTGTTAGAAGTGCATGCTAGTTTCTACCGGTTCTCCCATGAAATAAGTGTCAATTGGTTGGTGTTTATTAATTAGAATTAGAACTCATTTGTCTCACTGGTGTTTTGGCACAACATTGACAATAATACCCTTATTTCCACACTATTCTTTTTAAAAAAATGGTGGATTAATGATGTAGAGCTCTAATTATAAGATTGTAGTTTATTTTTCTCTCTTTATAATTATACTATTCCCAATTCTTTGCTGGCATTTTAATTTGATATAATTTAGTTTCCATTCAAATTCTATGAATTTATATTATTTTATTTCGTCTATGATCAATTAAACATTGATTATTAATGGCAAAGAAAGTACTTATGGTCATATGTTTTTTTTATCATAACGAAATATTAATTTTTAGACACACTAAAAAATAGAAAATTGACAATATAATACTTATATACATAAGTTTTAATTTCTTTTATCATGAAAATTCTTCATTTTCGACACAAATAAGAATTAAACCGTAACCATGAAATAGTAATAGTCATATGTTTCTTCTTTTTTCACGACGATTGTTTACTTTTAGTCACACATAAAATTTAGACCGTAACCGTACAACATTTGTAGCCCTCGCTTATTCTTTTTCACGAAAACGTGGTCATAGAATACTAAAGGTCACATGTATTCTTTATGATTATTACTATTTTTTTTACTTATAATCTACTATGAAATGAATAAATGTCCACAAAATAATTTGATAGTTACCATTAAATACTTACAATCAATTTTTTGCTTTAATGATGACTATGTTTTACTTTTAGACATACACCAAATCATAAAAAGTAATAATAAATGACTATAATATATTTATACTTACACTTTTTTTTTCTTTTATCATGACAAATATTTATTTTTAGACACACATAATAAAATAAACATGATCATAAAATACTTATAGTTATTTGTTTTGTTGCTCTCACTCAGTGTATAATAAATGATACCGTATGGACACACAAATAATTAATGTGGTCATATATTACCTTTTAGCTACATTACAGTCAAATGTCAATATTTGTTCCATAATACAGCCACATATACATTTGCTTAGTATGGCCATATAATAATCTATCGTCTCTTATAAAAACCATCACAAATATTTTCCATATATCTTACAAATTTATGGCGGATGATGACATTTTGTTACATTATTCAAGTGTGGCTAATAACTGTTACATTCGTTATGTTTAAGTGTGTCTAAAGGTTTCAACTATATTACTAATGGTCACGTAATACAACTTAAAATGTCGCTAAAAGAATGGCAGGATTTTAACAATAATCTTTAGATACAATTTTAGCCAAAAGTATGGCCAGACGGTTTTAGCAAAAGTGTGACCATATGTCATTTTTGTACTAGTATTATTTTTGTTAATAATCATATTACTTAATAAATACTTGGTTAGTATTTACTTGATATAAGGTGTGATCCTATAGGATGATATGTTATTTACAAATATTATTTCATAATGATTCTGGAGCATAATGATCTTTCACAAACCGTTTTGTGGTGAATTTAAGTTCGGAAATTGACATTCTGGAGCATAATGATCTTTCACAAACCATTTTGAAACTCAAGCTCTGTATTTCTTTAGTTCTTTCTTTCTTTGTAACTACATCCTTTACTTGTTGATCTTTCTCTATGGTCTCCTCCGCGTTGGTTTTTCCATATTATCCATTTCCCCATAGATGTTGGTGTTAGTTGCTCTTGGATTGTTTATTTACAATATTAAATGTTGTTTTCCCATTTTATTGGTACTTCCTAAAATAAGAGATGTTTATTATTGATTTTGTTGTTGATCATAATGTTTTGGGATTGAATTTTTTTTTTGCTATTATTTTACCTCACCCCCTCAAACAAGTATCATAAATATAATGAAATGATAAAACAATATATAAATTATTACTCAACGAATAATTTTAAATACAATGTAATGATAAACCATATGAACGTGATTACATGAGAAATCTTGGCTCTAGAACAACAAGAAATACCCTATGAAGGTTACTCCAGTCCCAGCTAGAATAAATGGTGAATAGACATAACTGGAAGCAGCAGCTGAAGGTGTTACGGTGGGACGGCTCCCTTGATTGGTAGTGGGTATTCCAGAATCCACACTGGTAGATGGTGGTGATAAGTCAGATTGTGGTGCCAATGTAGGTGTTGTTTTTGATTCAGGTGCAGAGGTTGGTGTGATCGTCTCTGGTACGGTAGAAGTACTTCCTGGAGATGGAGATGGAGCTGGCCCAATCCATTTAAAAACAAGCAACAAGTATTATATAGCCTATCTCAGTACCATTTTATAACGATTCTGAATCTGAATGGGTTGATACACAAGCCTAAAAGAAGCCATTCAAGAGAACATTGAAATGATTATTACCTGCCGAAGGAATAGGAGCAGCTGCAAATTTTGAAATGAACACATAAATGGTAAGAAAAAATCACAGACAAATTCTTCTTACGCAAACGATACTTTTGTTGAAAAGAAAACAACTTTGTATCAATCTACCAACCTTTACACTGAAGAGGCACACCCGGCATGCGGCAGGCACGGGGCAGAGAGATGGCAAGGGTCTGGTTGATGGGAATTTGGAAGGGTACGCTGCCTGTAACAATTAGGCAGAGACAATCTGTGCCACTACTTGTGATGGATTTGAGAGAATTGCAGCAATCGGAGGTCGGTGTAGAACTTCCGTTTGTGGTGCTATTGGTTATGAAGTTCAAACATGGAGTAAAGGTAGTTATCATCGATGGGGTGCATGGAGTGTTAATTTGACTGTAAACAGGTACCACCACACAACATAATGCCACAGCTAAGGTCACAACTAACCATCGGAAAGCCATATTTAGGATCAAGTTTTGATTTGTACCTGGAGATGGCTGAAGCAGGTTGTATTGATAGGGTCAAGGAAAACAAAGAAATTTATAGATGGAAGAATTTTGAACTGAGTGAGAAGGTGGTTATGTAGTTCAACTAACTTCAACAATTCTGTGTCTTTAATGATCAAAGCTTTTGACTTTTTTATTACATGGATTTTGCAACTGGAGAATTGGGCGAATTAAATTATTGGTTCGTTAGATTTGGTAAGCCACCTAAAACCGGTAATTTATTTAAAAAACAAAACTAAATAAATCTTACGGATCATAATAGGATCATGCCTTATAATTTTTATAAAGCCAATGTCGTGTTCTGACCAAAACTCCAAAACTTCAAAATAAAATCATATAAACTTTCAAATTACAAAACTCACAAATAAAACAAAGTGTTTTTGAAAGTCAAAAATTTAGTTCATATTGATTTTCCAAATAATATTATAGAAGTCAACTTTTCTATTGCAAAAATCAGTTGTTAATTTGGTGAAGAAATTCTATTAGGCGAAAATCAATGAAAAATGAAAACAAGCAACCATGTGTTCACATCATGCACAAAAGATGAGAAGAAAAAGTAATACCAAGTAATTTTGATGTAAGAAAATTTATATGCAGCCTGCCATATTTTGAAGTCATAGTTTCATACAAAGGTGTAATCATTGTTTAAGTACAAGAAAAAAAATAGATTCACAATTCACAGTCGTACAAACAGGCCACACAAGGAAATAATAGGGCTGTTTCTAATATTATACTTGAATTACATAGTACTAGGGGTGAGCATTTGGACCGAACCGGCGCTTGGACCGGACCGGTTATGGAGAATATTGTGGACTATGGACCGGACCGGATGAGTTGTCTCCGTGTCCGTGTCCGGGTCCGGGTCCGGGTCCGGGTTTTCCGGTTCTTGGACCCGTTTGGACCGGTACAACTTTAATTGCATAGAGTACAAGTCGTTAAAATAAGTTTTTAGGTTTGATACAATACAACTTGTAAAACTGATTATGTTTCCATTTCATGCATAACTAATCTACCTTGATGTTTGGTATCAGAGCATCCGGGTTGTGATATTAGCTCGTTGGGATCATTTTATCAAGTAATTAATCATGTCTTCGGTAAAATACGATATTCCACTACTGGATCGTAACACCCGATTTCCGTTGTGGCAAGTAAACATGAGAGACATTCTCATTCAGATGGATTTACACAAGGCGCTATTGGGTTTCAATAAGATGCCTGATACATGGACCGAAGAAGAAAAGGAGATGAAAGATCTGAAGGCTTTATCCCAGATTCGTTTGCACTTGTCAAACGATGTTTTGCAAGATGTTCTAAAAGAAACGTCAGCGGCTTCTTTATGGCTAAAGTTGGAGCAACTGTTGATGACCAAGAGCTTACCAAACAAGTTGCATTTGAAGCAACGGTTGTTCAATCTCGAGATGATTGAAGGAGACTCTTTAGCTGAACATATATCCACATTTAAAGAGTTAGTAAATAACTTAGAGAATATGGATGTTCAGTATGAAGATGAAGACTTGGCTCTATTCTTACTATCGTCGTTGCCAGAATCCTATAGCCATTTTCGTGATACTATTATCTATAGCCGTGACACTCTAGTTTTAGATGAAGTCTATACAACTTTGGATTCAAAAGAGAAGATGAAGCATATTACTGGTGGTGGTTCAAGTGATGCTAAAGCCGAAGGTTTGAATGCCAGAGGAAGAACAACAGAGAGAAATAGAACTTCTCAATCTTCCAACATAACCAGATCCAAGTCAAAAGGCAAACGAAAGTTTTGCAACTATTGTCACAAGAAGGGACATGTGCTTGAAGAATGCTTCAAGTTGAAGAACAAAGAAAAAGAGAAGACGACAACAAATGGTAAACAAGCTAGCACTTCGGGTGAAGCCGATCTAGCTGAGGTCGAAGGTATTGGAGAACTTTTGACAGTTTATTCAGATAAACTGGATTCCACTGGTGATTGGATACTCGACTCTGGTTGTACTTTTCATATGTGTCACAACAAAAGTTGGTTTTACACATTTGAAAAGGTTAACCAGGGCTATGTGTTGATGGGTAACAATACTACATGTCCAGTTCTTGGACATGGTTCAGTCAGGATCCGTATGTTTGACGGAGTTATTCGAACCATGGGGGATGTTAGATATGTTCCTGACCTCAGAAGAAACTTGTTATCTCTCAGTTCCTTTGACAAAAAGGGATACGAGTTTGCTGGTAAAGGTGGAGTTCTCAGGGTATTCAAAGACGGTTCCGACAAACTGAGAGCCGAACGAAAAACCTCAGATCTTTACTTTCTTGACGGGCAAACAATTTCGAGTGATGATGCTGTTGTGTCAAAGTCTTTTTCTGATCCAGATCAGTCCCGTCTTTGGCACCTTCGACTCGGCCATATGAGTTTTCAAGGCATGTCAGAATTGAGTCGAAGAGGTTTACTTGGTCAACAAAAGATTGTTGATTTGGATTTCTGTGAAGACTGTGTATATGGCAAGGCAAAACGAGTGAGGTTTGCAAGTGGTATCCATACAACGAAAGGACCACTTGATTATGTTCACTCGGATTTGTGGGGACCGGCTCGAGTTCCTTCAAAAGGTGGAGCTATTTATATGCTCACTATTATTGATGATTTCTCCAGGAAGGTGTGGTCTTTCTTCTTAAAAAATAAAGGAGACGTTTTCTCTACCTTCAGAAATTGGAAAGTTCAGGTTGAAAAGCAATCAGGTCTTGTGTTAAAGTATCTTCGTACGGATAATGGACTTGAGTTTTGCTCAGAAGAGTTTAATGTCTATTGTCAAAAGGAAGGCATTACTCGACATCGCACAGTAGTCCATTCACCTCAACAAAATGGTGTAGCTGAAAGGATGAATCGCACCATTATGGAGAAGGTCCGGTGTATGCTTTCTAATTCCAAATTGCCAAAGTCTTTTTGGGCGGAGGCTGCTTCGACTGCTTGCTATGTTATCAACCGATCACCGTCATGAGCAATCGAGAAGAAAACTCCGTTTGAATTATGGTCCGGTGAACTTGCAAATTATTCAGATTTAAAACCATTCGGATGTCCAACGTATGCACGAGTTGACAATGGGAAGCTAGAACCAAGAGCAATCAAATGCGTTTTTCTTGGGTACAATCAAGGTGTAAAGGGTTACAAGTTATGGAGCTTTGATTTGAAGAAAATTATCATCTCAAGAGATGTTACTTTTGATGAGTCTGCTATAATTCAACCAGTTGCTGACTCTTCTAAAAGAACAGATGCATCAGATGTATCATCCGAAGCAAATAAAGAGAATGCTCAAATGGAGGTGGAGCTTCCTACTTCACCTACTACTAATCAGAGTACAAATCAGCATCAAGATTCTTCTTCGTCAGATGAGCATGTTGTTGGTGAAGATTCAACACCTTCACAACCACAAGCTACTACTCCAAGCATTGCAAGAGATAGACCGAGAAGACAGATTATTCCTCCGAAGAGGTATGCTGAATCTGATTTGGTTGCCTATGCTTTTATTGTTGCTGATAATATTGAGTCTGCAACGGAGCCTGCAAATTATGACGAGGCTATCAAATCTGAAGACTCAAATGATTGGATGCTCGCTATGCAAAATGAGATGGAATCCTTGCAGCGAAACAGTACTTGGAATTTAGTTCCTATTCCGAAAGGGAAGAGACCAGTTAAATGCAAGTGGGTCTACAAGCTCAAGGAACCTGTCAACCCAAATGATAAACCAAGATACAAAGCTCGGTTAGTAGCTAAAGGCTACAGTCAGATTCCTGGTATTGATTACACTGACATTTATTCCCCAGTTGTCAAACATACTTCCATGCGTGTGTTGTTGGGGTTGGTTGCTTCTAACGATTTTGAGTTAGAACAACTTGATGTCACTACAGCTTTCCTAAATGGTGAGCTTGAGGAAGAGATTTTTATGCAACAACCTGAAGGTTTTGTAGTTCCTGGAAAGGAGAACTACGTATGCAAGTTGAACAAATCTCTTTATGGCCTCAAGCAGTCTCCTAGACAATGGTACAAGAGGTTCGATTCTTTCATGACCAGTCACAAATTCAGCAGGTGCACCTATGATAGCTGCGTTTATTTTAAGAAAGGTGACAATGGTTCAAAGATCTACTTACTCTTGTACGTGGATGACATGTTGATTGCAGCGAAAGATATGAAGGAGATTCAAAAGTTAAAAGACCAGTTGAAAGCTGAATTTGAAATGAAGGACTTAGGAGCTGCAAAAAAAGATTTTAGGTATGGAAATTATTCGTGACAGGAAGTCTAGGATCTTGCATCTTTCTCAGAAAAATTATATTGAGAAAGTCCTAAGACGCTTCAGTATGCACGAAGCAAAGTCTGTCAACACACCTTTTGCAGCTCATTTCAAGCTATCATCCGCTTTGAGTCCTACTAATGAGACTGATATGGCTTACATGACACGTGTTCCATACTCTAGTGCTGTTGGATCTTTGATGTATGCTATGATCTGCACGCGCCCTGATTTGGCTTATGCTGTTAGCATGGTTAGTAGATACATGGCGAACCCGGGGAAAGAACACTGGAAAGCAGTACAGTGGATTTTTCGTTATTTACGTGGTACGTCTTCTATGTGTTTACGTTTTGGTAAATCTAACACTGGGGTGTTCGGATATGTTGATTCAGATTATGGCAAAGATTTGGATAAACGAAGATCAATTACAGGATATGTGTTTACTCTAAATGGTTGTGCTGTTAGTTGGAAAGCCCAGTTACAGTCTACAGTTGCCCTGTCTTCTACCGAGGCAGAGTACATGGCGATTACAGAAGCAGTTAAGGAAGATATCTGGTTGAAGGGGTTATTTGGAGAACTCGATGATAGAATAAAGGTGACCACAGTTTTCTGTGACAACCAGAGTGCTATCTTCTTGAGTAAAGATCAAATGTTTCATGACCGAACTAAGCATATTGATATTCGTTATCATTT